GCAAATGCCTCTCCTTGCCCCCCCTGCGGACGCCCCATGCGTACTGCTCGTCTCGAATGCGTTGGCGTCGTTTTCATGTGCACTTATTTACGTATATATATTATTTACATAAATACGTCAAGATAATATAAGATCATCGCATATATGTATACACATTCGTTGTTTATTATCGTGCCCGTTCGTCGAATTCCAGCGCGATGATCCTCGCCAGCGCGCCGTCACCGCGCAATAAACAATAACAAGTTGCGCACGCAGAAGCGCGACGTGACGAGACGCGAAGGGATTATCGTGACGTCGCCGTTTCGAGTCTCATGTGTCCGCGCGCGAGGCGCGAGAGATATCGAGTAACCCAGATTTGCAATCATCCCCCGCCGCGCGAGGGGGATGCTGCGAAGAGCAGCAGCTCTTGTTAATTCTTTCAAAAGCGGAAACGATAACGCGCGATCAAAGCTCGCCGCGACGCTCACGAGCTCCCTATCGTATGTATTTCGTTTTTGTTTTTGTTTTTTTTTCAGGCGATAAACCGAATGATGCAACTGCAGGTCATAGTCTTCATCGTTATATTTATATTAGGCGGTTTTATTTTGATTTAAAATACATGAAGAAAAAAGCAGATATACATATATACGTATATATATACATATATATGTATAAATAGGACGTTATATTTATAGAAATTAATTTTTTATTTGAGTTATATATAAGAATTGAAAAATTGCGTGATACGCGCATATATGATTATATATGATATTTTTTATACTCGAAGAAATTAAGTAAAACGTCGTATGTACATATATAAGCCTCTCTAAATCTGTCAGTTTACAAAATATCTCTAGTTTGGACAATTTTGACTTTGTAAAGTTTTTAAAAACGTCAATTTAATAATTTACATATCGCGAATTGACCCAGTGCTGGATTTAAAGACACCCTGATCTTTTGATCAAATTTTCTTTTTAATCAAGTTTCTTTTGTGCACGGAAAGAACGATTTTGCTGGCAAGTCTAAAAATTTCACTGAATACAGATCTGAAAATAATTTTGTCGGACCATTAAAATAATTTTGTTGGAAACTGAAAAATTTTATACTCGAAGAAATTAAACGTCGTACATAAGCCTCTCTACATCTATCTGTTTACAAAATATCTCTAGTTTGGACAATTTTGACTTTGTAAAGTTTTTAAAAACGTCAATTTAATAATTTACATATCGCGAATTGACTCAGTACCGGATTTAAAGAGGTATAAAGGGCCCCTGGGCGGCTGAATCAGGTGGAGGCCCCTGATCTTTTAATCAAATTTTTTTGTGCACGGAAAGAATTACGATTTTGCTGGCAAGTCTAAAAATTTCACTGGATACAGGTCTGAAAATAATTTTGTTGGAAACTCAAAAATCGACGAGCATTGCTGTGAAACATTTTGCTATTCTATCCAGTTGGAACCTCCAGCAAAATTGTTTCGATGGTCCAACAAAATTATTTTCAAATCAGCAAAATTTCTAGAAGTTACATGCAGGGTTGTGCCGTAGATTTCAAGATTACGTCTACACGGATTATTTACGTGAAATCTACGTGATGTTTACATAGTCTTTTTATTGCGTAGACAATTTAGACTTGTAAACCATGTAGACTATTGTAAATTGTATCACTAATATATAGAATATAAAAGAATTAAATTATAAGGCAGTCTCTACCCACAATAGAAATGTTCAAAATGTATCATAGGAACAGGCTAAAGATACCACGACATCTTTAGAATATTCTTGATGTATTTTGAACATTAATTTAACTACGAGATTAAGATTAAAAATGCAACCAGAGAATTTTTCTTACTCAAATAGTAGTTTTTTTTACATAAATGTTAAATTATATATATTTATTAAATGAATAAATATATAGTCTACTGACTGTCTACATAGATGACACTTTTACAATAGTTTACGTTGTTTACACGTAAACGTAGAGTATTATATTTTACGCGTAGATGCACAACCCTGCTCCAAACCCTATCTGTTGTGTGTGTGTGACTGAGTCGACAAGGCACACAGGGGATA